AGTCAATTTTCAGTCATTACGAACTCTAAATACGTAGAGTTCGTAGTTCCCATTACGAACTCTAAATACCTAATTTGAAATTACTACGGTGAATAATGTCGCTAAAATAATCAAAATCCCGAATATTGGGAGGTACCGTTATATGGGGGCTATACGAAGACGTGGACTTGCACAGATAATTTTTTGTCTCAGGCTGTAGTATTCATTTCGAACTTCAAATGCCAAATTTGAAACAATTTCGGTGAATAATGTCGCTAAAATCATAAAAATACCGGATATTGGGAGGAACCGTTATATGGGGGCTATATGAAAACGTGGACCTACATGGACCATTTACGAACTTAATCTGCCTACTGGCAAAATAAACATGTATGCAAAAAAAAAATCGTTCGAAAGATATCCGTGATTACAACAGACAGACAGACGGACATGGCTAAATCGATAAAATGAATATACCCTCCATAGTATGAATATGAATATACCCTCCATATTATTAAAATTGGCATTTGACATACCCTTAAGACGACTGGTATTCAAATTTACATAGGTGCTATAAATTGATACCGGTCGATTTTAGTTATGTTGAAGATCCTAGATAAATTTCTTAACCGAATCCGTTCTAATTTAGTTTTTTTTTAGCTACCAATGAGTAGAATAAAAGTAAAAATATATGGATTATGTTTTTACATTTTCTCTAACCCCAAGGTAGCCTAAAAACACATTTCTAACCAAATCAATTGGAAAATGTATGTCAAGACTCTCGAAATAAGTAATATCAGGAGGTGACTCTATATGGATGCTACTCCAAAACATTAACCATTAATCTTGAAAATTTTCTACGATGATTTTCAATTTTCTACCTCGTGAGAAACCAAAATGCCAAATAAGGGCCAAATAAATTGAAAAATGTGGCCAATACCACAAAAATAGCAGAAATCAGGGGATACCTTCATATGAGGGTTATATCAAATCGTATAATTTTTAAAAAACTCAAATTACCAAAATTTGCCCAAATTAGTTTCAAATATACGACTAAAATATATAAAAAATACTTTAAATCGAAATATAACCTTATATGGGGACTGTACCAAAACATAGAGCGACATGACCCTTTTTTTCTACAAATGATTATACATGTGACCCTTAGTACTGTATCAAATATAAAACTCTATCGTAAATTTTGCGAAGCATTGTGAAGTATTTGATAGTTAAGATATATAAAATGGGCCCTAAAAGTGTGGCCTAAGAACCCAAAATCCTTTTGGATTTTTTTCTGCTGACCGAATACTATCCAATCAGAAATTTCCAACACCAGTATTGGCTGTTGCACAGTAATATAATAATTACTCACCATGGCGCATAATCTCCAGATTTAAGGTATCTTTATGGGTCAGGAAGAAGGATTCATTTCTTACTAAATTTTCAATTCGCTCTTCTATTTCGTATAGTCCGCATATTGAAGCGACTCTTCATATTTAGTATTTCATTGATTGCAGTCCCAATGAATTTTGCATTTTGAGTCATCATTTTGCAAATGAAAGGAGTAGATTCAAGTTTTGATATGAATCCCATGTTTGTTTGAATTTGTTCGCAACTTTTAGCTGAACCGCCTTGTAGGTCCTGGAGATGGAAAGCTAGACGGCAATTCTGGTCAGAAAAATCAGCATTTAACATCGTATTCACACTAATTTAACTTTCTTCATCTTTCATTCGGAATTCAAAACAATAACGAATGTAAGCTTCATGACAAATTGAAAAAAAACTACGAAAAATTAAAAAAATATATATCCCAAAAAATCTTTTATTCACATTTTTACTGGCGTATCTTTACTTGTCTTTTTTGGATGTTGTCATTTTCTACCAAAAGTCCATTCCGAAACCGCGTGAATTATCAAAATCAGGTGTTAAACTTTTGAGCTAAATGAAGTGAGTGGATTAAGGAATAACTAGGCAGGGTCGTGTTTTGAATTCATTAAATCGTGTTAAGATTAAATAAACTATTGTTGAAATTATCCCAATGGCTTCTGCACAATAAATGAGATAGAGGGTAGATAGAATGGAAACGAAGAAGTGATACAAATGCCTAGCAATTTTCATTCAATCGTCATAAATACTGTGTTCTTTAATGAAATAATTTGAAAAAAAAAATCAGAAATCAAGGTCAATGTCAATGATCTTAAACCATAAAAACCAGCAACTTGTTAGATTGGCTGCAGGTGCAAGCCAAAATTTTTAACACTTTAAATATGGACCAGCGGCCTGAGTCGGCTAGCTTGAAGATATGCTCTTGTTTTCAAAATCGACTGATGAGTTCTATCTGGCTTCCGGTATACGAAAAGTAGCTTTTGAAGTAATTGCTGTACTTAAATAAAAATGCGTAGAGTTTGTTAATTTTTTACCCTACCCCACACAGTGATAAGGGTATTATGTCTTTATGCATTTGTTTGTAACTTGAAAAAGGAAGCGAGATAGATCCATAGATCCTTTTGAGGATCTTCATAGAATCACTTTCTGAGTTGATTTTTGCATGTCATTCCGTCTACCCATGTATTTTTTTTTTTTTTTTTGAGCAAAATGCAGTTCGCATTTTTTATACGATTGAGATGAAAATTTCCAAACAATATTTGTTTGGCCCAAGGACGAATCCTAATAAAATTTGCGGGAATCGATTCAACTTTAAATATAGCTCCCACATGCATCTTCAACCGATATCGGGTTAATTGTGCACCAAATGACCAATATCAGTCCCAATGACCTAAATCCGTCCGAATTCAGTATTGAAGCAAGTACATCAAATTTGCAAAAAATCGGTTCAGATTTAGCTATTGCTCCCATGTATATTTTTCATCCGATTTGGTGTTTTAAGTCCCTCACGTGCATAATATGCAACCCACAAGAATAATATTTTGTTCTAGATAGCGTATGGAGCTCAAAAATACATCAATCAAATTTTATCGCGATCGGATCAGATTAGTATATAGCTCCCATATATATCTTTATCCGATATCTGGTTCATTGTGCACCAAATGACTAATATCAGCTCAAATGAACTGGATTTTGACACTTCCGACGAAATTCAGCCTAAAAGCAAGTGCTCCAAATTGTAGTGAAAATCTGTTCAGATATAGCTATAGCTCCCTCACATGCGTAATATGCAATCCACAACAACGATAATTGATACCGGGCATCAGATACTGCTCTAAAATACCTCTGCCAAATTTTATCGAGATCGTTTCAGATTTTTATATGGCTTCAATATACATCTTCATCCGGTTATTGCTCACCATATATGTAATATCAGTCCAATTTGAATAGATTTTTTCATATTCAACCAAATTTTACCATTTGGTGAAAGTCGGCCAGTATCTATTGCTCCAATAAATAGTCTTTTAATATAATTCTTATCGAAGTCATATCATGCACTATACCGTTATATTATTTGGTTCATAGTTGGTATGATCTACTTACATAAATTCCCAATATAAACTTTTTTGTTACGGTTCTACTAAATACGCATAGACTTTTGACCCTTCCTTACTGGGAAAATCGGTTATCTTAAATCTTTAATATTCTTGCAGTTCTGGAACAGGCCATACATTAGGAGTACTTTTGCGGAGGTGTGTAAGGAATGTAAAACTCGTGAACACATTAGCGGAACAAGAAGCTATTTTTATTAAGAATTCGGTCTGACTTACTTTTCGAGGTGTAACTTCTGTACGTTGCCAGAATATGTTTTCATGGCTAACTTCAAACGAAATTTTCAGCTAATCTGTTTAAGTTTATCCAGTAAAAATATAAAAAAAAATAAAAAAATTGGATTACAAAAGAAGTAAATCTAGCGCAAATTCAGGAGCAAAGAGAAACCATAAAATGCATTTTATTCTTTGTTTTTTTTTTTTACCATAATAAATTGAAGTTTAATTCCGCTATTAGCTTATGTCGTTGTTAATTTTCCCCACTTATGTTAAACATTCCTTTCGACCCTTGTCCATTACAAATAAGCAAATAGTCATTCATTAGCAACTACTTTTCCCTAACCAAATATATTCCAAATTTTATGCAATTTCAACAAAAGATGTGCACACTTTAAGGGACAAGACAAATAACGAATTGCGGGTTACAACGATATCTACTGTGCATATGTATGCATGGAGTTTTTTTTTTCTACTCAAAATTTTACAAGCCAAATTTTTTCCAATTTCCGCCAAGAATGCTCATTATTGGCGGAGAGATCCCTTCAACTAATTTCATGCCAAAGGAAGAAATAGTTAATCGTTGCCGTCGTTGTTGCATGTGGGACGTATGGAGGCTAACATGATACACGAATGGTGATGGTTCTTCTGTCTGTCCGTCTGCCTGACTGCTGTCGCTCTAAACGAATCTAAGGTGAAAGAATTGTCAAATACATGACTGTGGCAACCAAAAATCTGCCAACACCAAAATTGCCGAATAACAACGCTAACAAATGCATGATTCGACAACAAGGCAGGCAGCCAGCCTGCCAGCCAGCCATCCTCTCGCTTTTGACAAAAGACTATTAAGACGGGTAGTAAGGTCGTCGCAACTATGATGAGCATGTTTGTTCGGTGCTTAGGACAGACAACCCAGTTGGTAAGTGTTGCATGATAGCCCACATTGCAGTGGCAGTGGTAACGGTGGCTTCGGAGTCGGGTCGGAGTCAGTGATTTTCCAATGTGTAGCACTTCACTGTGAGCCACTTCGGATTACCTTCGAAGGCAGACTAAAGATGTTTTCCTATAAAAGTTGCTGCATTTTGAGATGAGACCATCAGTAACGGTTTAGATTTCCATTACATCGTCGGTCTAGAGCAGAGATAAGAGTTGTTAATCTGGAAAGGAAATCATAGTGTCATCGCAGACGAACTCCAGTTGGCATAAGAATAGAAAAGCTTGAGCCAAATCAGTTGTTGCAATCAGGATTATTTATAATCCTGTGAGATTTTTTTTGAAATAATCGAATTGAAGCTAGTTAGGTTTGAGTTGAATCTGAAATAGATAAGACAATGTTGAAATTACTGTGTGCGGCGTTTGTGATAACAGCAGTTCTGGCGAGGCCAGAACCACCAGTTAACTCATATCTGCCACCATCGAGTAGTTATGGGGCACCTGGTCTAGGTGGCTCATCGGGTTCTGGCCAAGGACCTTCTTCTTCATATGGGGCACCTGGTTCGGGTGGTAATGGCGGCGGCAACGGTGGTGGTGGAGGTGCGGGTAGACCTTCATCCTCGTATGGTGCTCCTGGATTTGGTGGTGGTTCCAATGGCAATGGAGGTGGCAGTGGAAGACCTTCCTCCTCGTATGGTGCTCCTGGTTTTGGAAGTGGTTCTAATGGCAATGGTGGGGGTGCTGGTAGACCTTCATCTTCGTATGGTGCTCCTGGCTTTGGAAGTGGTTCTAATGGCAATGGTGGTGGTGCTGGAAGACCTTCATCTTCGTATGGTGCTCCTGGTTTTGGAAGTGGTTCTAATGGTAATGGCGGCGGTGCTGGTAGACCTTCATCTTCTTACGGTGCTCCTGGTGCCGGTGGAAATGGTGGTTCAGGCAGACCTTCATCAACCTATGGAGCTCCTGGTGCCGGTGGCAATGGTTTCGGTTCTCCTTCATCCAGTTATGGCGCTCCAGGCTCAGGCGGTTCTAGTCCATCATCTACTTATGGTGCCCCAGGTTTCGGAAGTGGTAGTAACGGTGCTGGTGGTGGTGGTCGCGGAGGCGGTAATGATGGTTATGATTATTCGCAAGGCGGTGCTGGTGGTGGTCAAGGAGGCTCCGGTGGATACAACGATGATGGAAACAATGTAAGTAACCGTAATCAAGTACTAACCAAATTTCTTGCTTCCCAACAAGGCTCGCCAGCAGAATAATTGGGTATAGTGTCTAAAAACATTATTTTGTTATTCTGCTGTAAAATACAAAGCACCATAAATCGCACCCTTCCCCAAATGAATACCATTCGTAAATATCACAACAGTCACTGGAGCTCTTATTTTGCTGAACTTAAAAAAAACAACACGCTTCTACTAAATGCTTTCAAAAAAATAATAACTGCCAAAATATATTCATATTCTTGATATACCCTCACCTTGAGTGGGTAAACATGTTATTAGGAATTTTCAAGTGACAGTTCTAAATTGGAAACGAATATTAGAGAAGAGAGATACGTTCAAATTCTTACATATAAAATAGATTATAAAATAGATTTTCTTTTTTGTTATTCGCGAAACTAACTTCACAATAGTTTGTAGATTTTTTGTCAAATTATCAGCTGAAAAGACTTGGAATATTTATCATATGGCCTGAAAATATCAAAAAATATTGTGTAATTGGTAATAGGTATATTTAAATCGACTTTCGATTGATCAATTAATCGTTTTTTGTTATTGAAAAGTCGAAGTCGACTTTTGCCTGTGGTGAGAGTAAAATTTTTGTAATCGATATTCGATTTTGAGGTCATAGATTGTTGGTCGTCGACAAAGAGTATACAACGATTCACGTGTTTTTTGTTTTAATTTTATATTCTTGTAACAAAATCCGCCAATAAGTTTCAAATTCGATCTTATCGTCTGTTTGGCAATCCTATAACTCAAAGACCAATAATGCAAATCGATTTTAGCCCAAGTTGGCTTAAAAAGTCAAAGAAGTCCAAAATACTAAAATTCGGCTTTTGTTTTTGACTTCGTATCCCCAGTTAGAATTTTTCCAAGTGACAGAGTGTTTCCTAAGTCTAAAAGTCCTTTGAGACTGTTCGTATATATGTGTATTGTTTTAAATAATACAAAAGACGATTTGAAATTCAGTTTAACATAAATTCATATTTTTTTTATCAATTTTTAGATAAAACAATATTTCCTTCCATATAAAATCTAATTTTGTATCCAATATTCCATTCATGTTTTGTGGTTTTCCTCAATCGAAGAAAACAATTATATCAGGCTTGTATCATATATAGTTATATAGTTATGTCAGCCGTTTTTTGCTTGGGCGCCATAAAGCTAAAATAAGTAATATTATTTTAATGGATGCTAGACGTTATGGGACAATTCAAAGGCCTAAGTTGTGAATCACAACATGCATTAAACTTAAATTATTCTTTGGGTTTAATAAAAGTATTAGCTAGAAAAGGATATATTAAAATTGTAGCCCTTAAGCTGCTATAAAAGACGAAAATGATGAGGAGTGTCAGAACCACACATAAATTCCAATGGTGACCGATTTCAATTTGAAATTTCAAAATCAGCCAATGAAATAAGCCATACAGCAGTTTTTTTATGTGACCCTCCTTTAAGAATTGATAATACGAAAATAAATCAAGAGTAAGGGTATATCTCCGCAACTAAATCCTTTTAATTTGCTTTCCAATCTCGTCAATGTCTTTCGTTTGATCCATTTTATAGGAACCAGCTAAGTATGAGTTTAGCTATCAAGTTGAAGATGCTCCAAGTGGCTTATCGTTTGGTCATTCGGAAATGCGCGATGGTGATTTGGCTACAGGCCAATATAATGTCCTATTGCCTGACGGAAGAAAACAAGTAAGAAATATAAAATATTTAAAATGGGATAATATGGGTTGGATGTTTGAAGATTCCGATATTTCTATATCGGTCTCTCTTAGGTTTGGTTCCTTAAAAAAATGAAACTTAAAATAGTGTAAATCCGAGATATATTTTTGTAAGCAGAATTTATCGATTCATCGAAAACGAGCTAAATAGCTATTATCTGAGCTAAGGAAGCTAAGGAAGTCAATTGCACTCTAAAGGAGCAAGTACATAAAAAGCTTGAAGTCATGGCTAGGCATATTAATGTCAAATTATAAAGGAAAACGACGGCAGGATTTTAGTGCGGCTCTGTAATTCCTTTATGAAATGTCACAAAATATGCCCAGCCATGACTTCAAGCTTCTTATGTACTTGCGCCCTACGGCTAAGGCTAATTTCAATAGGTGCTGGCTTTTAAACCCAGAGTGAGTTAAAAGAACAATGTTGGCAATGTAATTTGAATACTCTGAGCTTAAGGTACTGAGTATTTTTCTGTCGGAGAAGTTGTCATAAAGGAATATTATATATGAACAAATATATATGTTTATACCCTCCACCATTCTATGGAGGGATATTAACTTTTTCATTCCGTTTGTAACTCCTCGAAATAATTATAATATATCCCACAAAGGTTCACGTTTTTGTATATTCCCCATATAACGGTACCTCCTGATATTCGATATTTTCATGATTTTAGCGACAGTATCTACCGGAATTATTTCAAATTTCATATTTGAAGTTTGTAATGGGTACTTTAGCCTACGAAAAACATTTTTGTATGCAAGTTCAAGTTTTCGTATAGCCCCTATATAACGCTAAAATCGCTATTTTAATGATTTTATTGACTTTATATATAGTAATGGATACTACAACCTATGACAGAAAATTGTCCGTACAGGTCCACGTTTTGGTATAGCCCATTAGTACCTCATTATATTCGGTATTTTGATGGTTTTAGCTACATTATTCACCGACAATTATTTCAGATCATTAAGCTCGTCTCGAAAGAGAAAAAACAAACACATAAATTATTTTTCTAGTTTCGCATTTGAATATTGAGATGGCTTATGCCAAATTCGTTCCAAATGGTGGAGGGAATCCAAAGTTCGGCCCGGGCGAACTTACAGCTTTTTTACGTGTTTCAATTGCCCTTTAAAAACTTCAGATTAAGGCCAAACTCGGTTTCAGTTCTCCTTTTTTCAACAGACATCCTTATGTGTCCACCTGTCAACAATTCTTGAATATATTTTTGGTCGATTACCCAATATTTTGTAAAAAAAAAAATGTTACAAAGCAGTGTTCGATAAGTCAAAAATCCCGTAACTGAGAGTCCCTTAACAGTTAAGAGAGCAATTTTGAGAGTCGAGTTAGTTCGAGTTTATAAACTCTTACTGAGAACATTTTCTCTGCAATAATTATCCTGTATCATGTGAAAATGTTTAACAATTTCAGGCAATTATTTTAATTATTTTTCAGATAGTAAACATTCAACACTGTATTATACCATTATATAACAACTTTTATACCCTCCACCATACATACTATAGAGGATATATTAACTTTGTCATTTCGTTTGTAATTCCTCGAAATACTCATGTCAGACCCAACAAAGTATATATATTCTTGATCAGCGTAAAATTCTAAGTCGTATTAGCGGTGTCCGTCTGTCTACTATCTTCCGAACGAATTGAGATAGAAAAGTAAAATTTTGCACACATGTTTATTTTGCCAGTAGGCAGGTTAAGTTCGTTAATGGGTCATATAGGTCCAGAAAACAGACAAGTGTCTATACAAGTCTACGTCTTCGTATAGCCCCCATATAACGGCACCTTTTATTGATTTTAGCGACATTATTCACCGGAATTGTTTAAAATTTGGTATTTGAAGTTTGTAATGGGAACAACATAGTATACCCATTACCTTCCTATATTCGGTATTTTGACGATTTTAGGTACAATAGTCACAGAAATTGTTTGAGATGTCGTGCTTGAAGTTCGTAATGGATGCTACAGCCTGTGACAGATAATTGCCTATACTGGTCAAGGTCTTCGTATAGCTCCGATATAACGGTATCTCCCTATATACGGTATTTTGATGATTTTAGCTACATTATTCACCGTTTATTTCAACTTTCGAATTTAAATATGGTTATGGCTTATGAAAACAATGCTTATGTAGGTCCACGTCGTATAGATCCCTATATAGCTTACTGCTTTTTAACTTGTTCATTATAGAAATTGCAAAACTGATTTAATTTTCTAGAAATTTTAAACGTACGAACAACTGCAACTGAGTGTTGCAATATTTAAGAGAGAGAGAGAGAGAGAGAGAGAGAGAGAGAGAGAGAGAGGGTGAAATTCTCACAATAAAAGTTACTGAGTATTTTTTAACTGTGAGAGCTATCTTAAACACCTAATGTCTTCAGGACTCCAATGAATTTTCTTTAAATAATTCCAGAATCTGCAAGAATCTACTAGTTTAATAATTTTCTCCGAAATCATAAAGAGAAATCGATTATCGTAGCAAAAACTTTTTCGTTCTTGCAGTTCTGAAACAGACCAAAAGTTAAATTATATTTAATTGTTGTTATTTTCTTCTGATCTAGGAATTAATGTAAATATTTTCTTTCCCAACAGATTGTTGAATACGAAGCCGACCAAGGCGGTTATCGTCCACAAATTCGTTATGAAGGCGAAGCTGGTCAAGGATCTGGTGGTTTTGGTGGTGGTGCTGGCGGCGCTGATGGTGGCTATGCATACGAGCAAAATGGCGCTGGTGGCGGTTCTGGTTCTGGTGGTTACAGCGGAGGACAAGATTTGGGAGCAAATGGTTACTCCAGCGGTCGCCCCGGTGGTAATGGTGGTTATTCTAATGGCCAGGACTTGGGTTCTAATGGATATTCGAGTGGTGCACCAAATGGTCAAGGCAGACGTAATGGCGGTGGTGGTGGCGGTAATGGTGGAGGTTACAGTAACGGTCAAAATTTGGGAGCTAAAGGCTATTCCAGTGGTCGTCCTGGGAGCAATGGCAACGGTAATGGAGGATATTCCAATGGCAATGGAGGCGGTGGCCGATCAGGTGGTAATGGAGGCCAGAATTTGGGTGCCAATGGTTATAGCAGTGGCAGACCAAATGGACAAAATTTGGGTGGTAATGGCTATAGCAATGGCAGGCCTGGAGGTCAAGATCTAGGTGCAAATGGTTATTCAAGTGGCCGACCAAATGGCAATGGAGGTGGCCGCAATGGAGGCGGTAACGGTAGCGGTGGTGGCCAATTTAACAATGGCCAAGGCTATAGCAGTGGTCGCCCCAATGGTAATGGAGGAGGTGGTCGCAATGGTGGTTCTGGTGGCTATCGCAATGGTAATGGTGGCCGCAATGGAGGCGGCTCTAATGGTGGCTACAATTATGAGCAGCAAGGCTCAAATGGTTTTGGGGCTGGTGGACGTAATGGCGAGAACGACGGCAGTGGTTATCGCTACTAATACCACCGACATCCAACTCTCGACACGATGACGTTTTCGGCAATGTTTGGATAACGATTTAGACAGAAACGAATAATTTGAATAATTTAGTTGAAACGACTTTCAATCAAGGCTATTTTCACTAGTTCTACTCCGAGATAAGAATCGATTATTTTAAGTTTTGTAATAATTTAATTTTTACGCAGAATATTTACAACGTTCTACTTTTAAGCTATCAAGTCTGTGTTAAAGGTTTTCTACATACATACGTTTTCATCGCTCATCGATTTTCATTTTTCCACTAATCTATAACTGTCATGCTTCATATTTTTTTGTTATAGAAAATGTCCTTGTCCAAAGGACTCAAAAAAAATCAGAAAAACTAAAGCGCTCTTCATAATAGAATGTACAACAAAATGCATTTTTACAATGAATTAAGTCGAGGGCATATTGTTTCAAAATGAATTATATGCAATATATTTTATAATAATACGAAATATGTTAATAAAATGTTTTTTATATAAAAATACACAGCTTTCATTTAGATTTTTATAGATAGATATTAAAATTTAAGATTGGGGCTTTAATATGAAATCAAAGCATGGAAATGTGAAGGTCAGAGTACCATATGACACTAAAAATATCTTCGGAAAAATTGTAAACGTTTATGGAATGAAAACCAGTAAAGAAAGTCTTAAAGTCGGGCGGCGCCGAGCTTCACATAATTTTTTTTTTTTTTTTTTTTTTGTAATTTTGTGAGAATTAATTAATACCAACTATAATTATAGTTATAATTAAAAGCCCAAAGGTACTAATATATGACAGGAATATTCTTCTCTGAATCGATTTCTACTAAATTTGCCGAGGCATTTGGTGTACAATTTGGTGTCAAATTAACTTGAAATCGGATTAAGATTTATTTAGGAGCTATATGCAAATCTGAACCGATCTCTATAAAATGTATCAAAGGTATTTCTGATGTATATTTCCCCGAATATCGTTGTTAAAGAGTGCATATTACGGCTGTGGAGAACAAATATAACAAATCGGATGAACAATATATAGGGGAGCTATATCTATATCTGAACCGATCACCAAATTTGACATACTTGTTTCTAGTTTCAATTTGGTCGTATATGCCAAATTCTATCTCATTTTGGGCTTGTATTACATCATCATTTGGTGCACAATAAAAGGCAAATCGGAAGAAGATATATGTGGAAGAAATATATAAATTTTGACCGATTTTGCATTCCAAAGTACTTCAGACAAAATAGTACAGCGGATTGGTATTCGGAGATTTTGGTGGCCATTGTGCGCTGGAATTGAGGCGAGGAACCTCATTTTCTAACCATTCTTGGGTGTCGCGTACTGAGTGCGAGGTGCAATGTCCATGATCTGCGCCTAAAATGTTTGCCTGCCCAAGATTTTAATAAACCCTCCAGAATATTTTCGCGATAATATTCGGCATTTATTCTGATGCCACGGTTATTTAATACGAGCGTAGAGCGACCATCGGCTGTTATGGCGGCCCACACCATCACCATGGCCGGCGCTTGAGATCTGGTGGACAACTGAAGGTGTGCATTTTCAGCTGACCTCTTTGGCAAGTAAACACGATCATTTTGATTGTTTACAAGCTGCTGGACAACGAATATTTTCCCATCGGAGAAAACCAAATTCGCCAGTTCAACACTTTCGGCCAAACGAAGCAACTTTTTAGCTCATTTGAGTCTATTTTCTTTCTGTAGCATTGTAAGTTCTTGCACTTTTTGGAATTTCAATGGCTTTACCCCGAGCTCATTTTTCAATATTTGCCGAATGGAATATTGCGATATGTTCAGCTTACGAGTCCATTTCGATACTTTTTTTACTTTTCGAACCATTTCTGCTGATGTTGCTGTTTTCTTCCATCCACTTCCTTGATGTCGGGCTACGCTACCAGTATCACGGTAACGAGCGATGGTACGAGACACAAAAGATTTATTCACATTTAAATAGCCACGTGTGGTTTTCCAGCCAAATAGAAAGAAATCACATTATCACGCTTGAATTCCATCGCGAATAACTTTTTTGCTGGAAAACTCTCACCAAAATGCTTTTGTACGCTTGTAAACAATATAATAAGCTGTCACTGGAATAATTTTACAGCTTTCGGACGTGTGGCTTCGAAATGACAGCAGTCTGAAGTTGGTTGCAGTTTTTTAATCACATCCTGTATGTTGCGGGTAGGATTGGTTCACATCCGTAGTGTTGTAAGGTACCATAGTCGGCCCTATCCAAATTTTATCCTTTCCTCACCGGTTCATACTTTAAATTGTCGAAAAGCTTTTATGATCATTAATATTTTGTCGAATTTTAATTATTATACGAATGAATCGAAAGCGACTTTAGTCGAAACTTCAATTCGATTTTTAGCTGATTGGATAAAATTCAAAGTTCGAAAAGTAGATTTACTGAAATTGATAAGTTTAAAAGCTGATCCTGACAATCAGATAATTAAAGTTTTACATTTTTTCGAGATTTGTACTTTGTAACTAAGTTGGCCATAGTCCACATTTTTGGACTTAAATTTCGTTGACGTAATGATACCGGAAAGAGACGCATGGGCTGTTGGTGAACCATCAGACGGAGTTTAGTGCAATCAAGAAGGCAGCCAATATGCCTTGTAATAGCATAACAGGGCCCTTGACTATATATGTCAATAGTCAGGTGGCCCTCAAATATTGCTGCTAAGTAGACCCACAGTCATATGGCTACAGAGAGTATATATCATTTGATACGTCTAAAACGTGCCTCATCGAAATAACGATTTTAGAACCCAGGTCAGGTTTGAAGATAAAAAAAAATATATCGGTCCACTTGTTCTGGTACCCCCCTCCCACAAAGGGTCAAAATATTAAATATCCATGAAGCTCATAAAACGCGAAATTCACATCCGATTCCATACAGACTTGGTACATTTCAATATTTCCATCAACACAAGGTCTGTTATAAAGATGGTAGAGATCGGTCCATTCCTTCTGGCAACTCCCCCAACAAGGGTCAAAGCTTTAAAAACCAAAACGACCATAAAATTCGAAATAAGCATCCGGTTCTCTTCATATTTCATACATCTCATTATTTCTACAAACACAAGATCTGCTGTGAAAATGGGATATATCGGTCCCCATAAAGGGTCAACATTTTGAATATCCTTGAAGCTCATAAAACGCAGAATTAACATCCGATTCCATTCAGACTTGGTACATCTCAGTATTTCCATCAACATAATATCTGTTATAAAGATATTAGAGATTGGGCCATTTCTTTTGGTACCTCCTCCACATAGGGTTTAAGATTTTGAAAAACAAAACGCTCAAGGAAAGCGAGATAAGCATCCAACTCCCTTCAAATTTCCCTCATACAAACATTTTTGCTAACACAAGATCTGTTATGAAGAAATATCTGCGAACCTCTTCTGGTACCTCGCCCTCAAAAGGTCAACATTTTTAATACTTTTATCTGTCATAACTTACGAAGCAAGTAAGCGATTATATACAACTTGCTATATCTAAATATTTCTCTGAACCAGAAACCCAAGATGAATATTAAATTTATGATTTCGCATAAAATTGGATATAAATGTTCGATTTTCTTATAATTTTGCCCATACCAATATTTGTATCTGTATTAGATGCAGTATGAAAATGGAATACTTCGGTCGACTATATCTGGTAGCTCACGTATATTTCCACGTTTTCCAAAAATTTCACATATCTCATATAAAGTATAGGAAGTATTGGATATAGTCCAAATCTAACACGTTATAATATTTATATGAGTCAATATTGGCTAACTGCTTCGGAACCTCCCCCATAAAGGGTCAACAGTTTGAACAATCATAACTCAAGGCTGGGGTATAAATCTGTCGGAAAACCCGACCGATACCATTTTACTTGTTGACCTTCCATTTCGTTAGCAACACCTCGAAATGTTCTTCGGAGAACCCAGAGAACACCCGGAGAACAATTATCTTCGTGATAAGCGAGATTCTTCGTCGATTCGATCTGTCTGTCGTTTTTTACGCATTTTTTTGCAAACATATTTAATGCAGGGCCACTTCTTGGAATAATACAGAAACAAAGTAATTCGTGATGTAATTCAAACGTGAATTAAAACGTGGCTATCGTTAGAGCACTCTAGCATTTAAATCTGAATAAATCTTTAACCGTGATACTGGTAGCGTAGCCCGACGTCAAGGAAGTGGACGGAAGAAAACAGCAACATCAGCAGAAATGGTTCGAAAAGTAAAGAAGCGACTTGATCGAAATCCACGTCGCAATGGCCGAAAAATGGCTCGTTAGCTGAACATATCGTAATATTCCATTCGGCAAATATTGAAAAATGAAAGTGCAAGAACTTACAACGCAACGGAAAGAAAATAGACTCAAAAGAGTTAAAGAGTTGTTTCGCTTGGCCGAAAGTGGTGAACTGTCGAATTTGGTTTTCTCCGATGAGAAAATGTTCGTTGTCCAGCAGTTTGTAAACAAACAAAATGATCGTGTTTACTTGCCAAAGAGGTCAGCTGAAAATGTGCACCTTCGGTTGGCCATCAGAACTCAAGCGCCGGTCATGGTGACAGCCAATGGTCGTTCTCCGCTCGTATTAATCGACCGTGGCATCAGAATAAATGCCGAATTTTATCGCGAAAATATTCTGGAGGGTGTATTAAAGCCTTGGGCACGCTTACATTTTGGCCGCAGACCTTGGACATTCCAACAGGACTTAGCACGCGCCACCCAAGAATGGTTACAAAATGAGGTTCCTCGCTTCATTTCCAGCGCACAATGGCCACCAAAACCTCGGGATACCAATCCGTTGGACTATTTTGTCTGGAGTATTTTGGAAAGCAAGGTTGGCACTAAATAATACCAAAGTGTCAATCACCTCAAGCAAGCACTTCGCCGGGAATGGGCCAAAATACCGCAGAACAATTGGGCGGCGTGTGACGGTTTCATTGGCCGTTTGAAAGCCATAATTCATTTAATAAAATTTAAAACAAAAATGTAAAAATTATGGCGTTTGACTTTGTTGCAGTTTTTATCTCACCCTGTATATATAGATACTGATGGAGTGCTGCGCAAAAACGGAAAACATGCGATGTAATAATCTCCTGTGGTTTATTAAATACCTTAGTCTACATTTTAAATATATATTCTATCATATACAGCCAACTACTTCGTTTCCTTCTTCAAAATCTCCAAAATTCGTCCATGTATATTGCCATTTACTTGGAAATCCATTCGGGTCTAAGGGCTTATTAGATGGAGGTACTGCAGTGGCATTAATGACATGCAATTCCTCTAACAATGCCTTCAATATACTGGGATACCTGTAAGTGAAAAATAGAAACAATAAATTAAATCTGTCTCTTGTCTAGTTATTAGATCTACTCACTTATGAGCTAAATTGTACTTTTCGCAAGGATCGTCTTTGACATTAAAAAGGCAAGGTTTCTCCAGAGGTTTGCACACCGTGCCCTCCTTCAAATAGGGCATGCGTGCCGAGCAATCAATATTCGCTTCTATCCGCATGCGTGAAATATCTGCTATTGTGGGTAGCATATCAATGGTGGCCAGAGAACGTCCAGCCAAGCTCGAGCGCACAGCTTTATAATTGTATGAACGAGCATTACGATCACCAGCCGGTCCATACCATCCATCCCAGGCTCCATTATAATGGGTACCAGCGATAACCTTCCAATCACTACGTGTTAGGGCAGAACTGCCCCATATGTCATCGATATTGTGGAGAATGGCTTTGCGCGGTGAAACATCATCATTGGACAAGGCAACCCAGATACTTATGCCGTCCAAGGGTAATGACGATATGTTTCTAGAATGAAAATAAAATATCAATAAATCTTAATATGAAATTGTTGGTATGTGAATTTACTCACAAGAGAGCTTCATCCCCCTTGATGGCCGACAACAGTGTGGGTAACCAATCCACGATGTGCATTGTTTGTTCGGCCAAACGTCGTTTCTTCTTTAGACGTGGTGACCACAATAGTCCGGCACCCCTGACACCTCCCTCCCACAGGGTGTTCTTAACACCTCTCAGTGGCCAATTTGAAGCGTGATTCAAATTAAAGCCCTCAGCTGGTCCGCCATTATCGGTGCTGAACACAATTATGGAATCGTTTAACATATTTTGCTTTTGTAACTGCTGCACAATTCGTCCAACCGACTCATCAAGTTTACTAACCATAGCTGCAAGAGTCGCAATGGAAAAAAAGGAATGTTTAATTAATTTCTGTCAAAATGCCGTTATGCGCGTGACATTTGTGCTGTTTTTCGTTATTAAATTGCTAATTATTTCATATTTCCCTCCATAATGATGATGATGATGACGATGGTGGTGATGGTGGTGGCGAGTGATGATGTGGGAACACCAATCTCATCATCATCGTCGTCGTGGTTACCACAGAGGTAGATCTATGACGTTACATTAATTAGTCTGACTTAAAAACCTACAACGACAATATATCAGGTAATTGCATGCCTCTCGGATGCAACATTTTTTTGGGGATGCTCTTAAAAAGTGCAATTTATAATTGTTTATTATGTACATATGTATGTATGCCTGTCAGTATGTGGCTGCGACATGTTTTCTGGTTGCATACCCTCAACCTACAATGGGGCCACACATAAAGGGTAATGATATTGTCAAACAATATCATTGGGTAAGTAAACAAAACTCCCAGGCTGATGGTGATAAGTAATTCAGCAAATATTGTTTGAAAAAAAAAAAAAAACACACACACACGTATGAAAATATATTTTGGAAGATGAAAGGAATGTCTGTCACACATTTTATCTTAGCATCAGAAAAATATTTTTCAGGTCATGAATATTACCCTTCAGGCTATTGTAAATTTGCAGAAAATATCAAAATGAAAAAAAAACACAAAATGTGTACAATGTGACAGTTGATTAGCTGAAGATCATTGTTTGGGAAAGTACCTCATTTTATACCCTACACAACGGCAGGGGGAGGTTTGTAACATTATGACTCCAGACAAAAGTATTATTATACCGATCGACTTCTTTCTGGACTCTGAGTCGATTTAACACAATTGTACCCATTTATTTTTGTAGTCATCCGATATATCGTAACTTTTACATTTTACATTTTTAAGCAATTTGATTCTACCATCGGAACAAAGACGGAAAAAAGATATACGGGGGTTATATGGGGACTACACGAAGATGTGGACTTGCACAGACAATTTTCTGTCATAGGCTGTAGCATTCGTCCAGAACTTTAAATGCGAAATGTGAAACAATTGCGGTATATAATGTCGTTAAAATAATCACAATAAAGAATATCGGGAGGTACCATTAAGTGGTGGCTATACCGAAACGTGGACCTAAATCACCCATTTTCAATATCAAAAGTCCTGCAGACATAATACACATTTGAGTAAAATTTTATCAACCTACTTCATTTCGTTCGGAAGCTAGAGTGATTTCCATAGACTGCTGTGACAGAACCCTTAAAAATCAAGAGGTACCTTTATATGGGAGCTAATTAGTGGAAGTTAATCGAACAATTTTTCGCAAGGACAGAACAGGCCTACCTAGTACCCCAAATTGACAAGCTAATTTGGTTGGAAATTGTGGAAGAAAACTTCAAAATAAGGAAAGTAGATAGGAACCCTTATACGGAACCAATTATGTTTTATTTCCCAGGGAGAGAACAAAACTACCACGGTACAATAATAAGGTAAGGTAGAGCTCCCAGCTGATTACAATTTTTTTCTAAGTCTGCCCGACTTCTACCAATTTTGTGTATGTATTTGTTGTTTTGAAAAATAAAAACAAAATTTTTTCAAAATCAATGATTGGAAGAAACTTAACCAGATTTGCCATGGAATTGAAAGATTGAACACTTAGGATCATATTTTTGAGAGACGTCCAGGCATTTCATTAATCTTTCGCACTATTTGACTCATTTTAGAAATGAACAAAAATACCAAATAAATGAAAACAACTGTTTGCCTATAATTTTGAATAATTCTGACAGGAAGCGGACATAGCCTCAGGGCTGTATTTCTGTAGTTTTACGAAGCTGTTCTACCTCCTTATTTTACTATGCCAAGAACCTTAAAACTTTCAGCTGATTTTATTGGAAACTGTGGCAGAAAACTTCAAAATACCGAAAATCAGGAGGTACCATAACTAAACGTGGACCACTGTAGCCCATTTTCAATACCAATCAGAGGTATTGGGTGGCGGAGGTTATAAAAATATATACATATGGGAAACGTGCATGTGCAAAAGTCCATCCTGTTTGACCTGATATTAAATGTTTTAAAACGGGTGGAGATATCGGATGGAAGCTATGTCCAAATCTAAACCGATCTCGATAAAATTTGGCAGAGGTATTTCTAAGCTGGTATCTGGTTCCAAATAAATCACTCATGTAGAGTGCATATTACGAATATGAAGGACAAACATTTCGAACAAAACATTTATATGAGAGCTATAGCCATATCTTAACCGATTTTCACCAAATTTGAAGTATTTGCTTCTAGGATGAATTTAGTATGTGCCAAATCACACTCCAATTGGGCTTATAATAACCATTTGGTGCACAATCATGAAATCGGATAAAGATATATATGGGAGCTATATCCAACTCTAATCCGATTATCTCCAATTTCAATAGGGTTTGTTCCTTATCCTTCTCTAAATCGGATTATAAATGTGAACTGCATTTTGTTCACAAAAATACATGAACAAACAAACAGATGGACGGACATGTATAAATCGATTCAGAATGTGATTCTATGCAGATCCTCAAAAGGAACTATGGGACTACATGTTACAAACAAATGCACAAAGGCATAATACCCTGGCCATAGTTTAGTGTAGGTATACCTATACACAATATACCCTGTAGAGAGACTATGGGGAGACAAATTAGAAGAAGCTGCAATCAATTTTTCCGAAAATTATTCAATTTTTTTCAGCCTCCCCCATTTTGTTGTTGCAAAATGGTCAGGCTTAATCAAATTATTGTTGTTTTTATAAAAACGACGTTTGTTTATTAGACAGAAAACAAGGGAACTGATGAGATTTGCAACTCTTCAAAACAACCTTCTAAGAAATGAGACACATCTCGCAATTTCAGGTTTGTTCAAAGTTTTGACCACATTTGGAAATAACGCTCATGATTTAAAAATGTCATGGTAAAACAATAAAAATAAACTCATTTGGTAAACCGAATATGGCAACCCTTTTCCGAAGTACTCGACCCTGTCATTTTTACGTATGACGGGTGGCATATTTTACAAAAATAATACAAAATCTTAACAATATCTGCTATATGGATTATGTATAAAAGGACATCTTACCCTAATATTTTCCTGCAATGAAATTAAGGCAAATTCGACTGAAAATTCGGGACGACAGTCTTCTACCAGTATTACAGCAAAACAAGCCGTGATATTGCCGATCTTAATTTCCTAGCTGCCGTAAAATGCTACTTTAAAACAAAATTCAACCATTTCATAATCAAGCTTTGCATAATTTATGAGACAAATATGAACTTGTCTCATAAATTATGCAAACTAATATAAACTTGGGCAACCTACTATTACAGTGATGTGCGTAACTTACTACTATTACTATGCACTTTTTACCCATTTTTACTTCGTTCGATGAAAATTTGTCCAACTCACCAGCATATTTCCTTCGTCCAAAATGTTGAATATGTTGCATTTTGGAGACATCTGCATCTGGAGCACGCAATGGATCGTACGGATTGCCTGAATGTACTGCGGCATGAGCAACATATAAAAATAGTGGTTTCGTGGAGTTGTGGGTGGAGATAACTCTTAAAGATTCCTCAGTGACTAAATCGGTTGTGTATTTCCCATGCAAATTGTAGCCAACATTCATACCTGGCATTAAAGAAAGAAAAAAAAAACAAATTAAAAGTCAATATATACCAAATTAGCCACATAATGCGAACTAACCATCTCTTACATCCAAACCCCATTGTCCCGATTCGACGGCTGTGTGATCGAAATAATCATGGTGTCCCGTCCAAAATCCAACATGGGATGAAAACCCCCTATAAAGTGGAGTATATTCGTGTTTGTAATGGCCGAGATGCCATTTGCCGGCAATGTGTGATGAATATCTGCAATGATGTTTAACATTCAGATATCAATGAATATTTTTGAAGAGTCTTGATACCAAGGAAAGTATGAAAATGATTCGAAAATGTAAAGGAGATTCAAAATACAAATATGCATATTTTCATTGGTGTATGTAAAACTAGTACCCCAATTCATTAAAGTATTGTGGCATGAGTTTCTCTGTCAGTGGTAGACCACGGGGCTCCGCTCCATAAAGAACCGTATGTTGCATCCCTGAAAATAATTGAATTTAAACAATAATTTTGTGAGAATATTAAAATTGGAATACATATTTACATACCTGTGTGAATGGGATATTTCCCCGTCATCAACGCCGACCGAGATGGTGTACAAATTGGATTGACATAATATCGATTTAAAATGACACCCGAAAACGCCAAGGCATCTATGTTTGGGGTTGGTATTTCGGAAGAACCTCTGAAGCCAACATCATTAAAACCCTAAAAGAAAATTATTATGTTCATTGTTTGAATTTTGAAAAAAAAAAAGTAGAGACATTTTTGTCAGTATGTTTAAATCGACAAAATTGCAATAAATTGCAATTAAATTCAGTTTTAAAAATTGTGAAATTTTTTGAAGAATTGTGTTGGCGTTTTTGTTCGGGATACCGTAATTATTTTAGTGGAGAAATATGATATTGTTTACCAGGAGGTAAGACAGTCAATACCATGGTTTAGGAAAGAGCCACCAAACCTCATCAGTTCCCTTGGTTTTTGTCTGGGGAAATTCTCCCCAGTAAAAGGATCGTAGGTTCAATAGAAGATGAACCAAAGAACTGAATTAAACTTTTTTTTGACATTTCTAACTATTGTTGCAACCATGGTACAATGATATCAAGGTAGGGCAATGATACCATACGATTTTAATTTTTTTATTTTCTTGGCTTAATATGTCATCTTTTTTGTTTATGTAGGTGTTTTCTTTTCAATAACAAAAAAATTGTTCAGAAAACATTCAAATTCGGGTGTTTTCAAAATGTTTATTTCAACGTATGCATCGACAAAATCTAGAGTTTTTGTAGCGAAATAATCCTTTAGAGATATATAGTACATGATTTTGAAAAGAAGTGTTGACCTTTCATTCAGTTATCGCGATTTTCAATTATTTATTCAAAATAAATGCAACAAGTTGTTTGATTTTTTATTGTTTTGATACTAATTCTGACATTACAAGCCAAACAGGTAGACCTCTATACTTGCAATTTTTTCAAAGTTGGCCAACCTTCTCTTCATTGTACCATGGTTGCAACGAAACATTTTAAAAAATATATTTAAACTGAATATTTATCCACACAGATCCCGAAATATTAAATATATTTATTAAATATATTTACTACCGAAAATCTGGAGATCAATCGCTTCTTTACTTTTAGAACCAATTCTGCTGATGTTGCTGTTTTTAACCGTCCACTTCCTTGACGTCGGGTTAAGATACCAGTATCACGGTAAGGTTCGATGATACGAGACACAATTAAATGATCACATTTAAATGCTGGAGGGCTCTAACGACAGCCACTTGTTGTTTTCCAGCCAAATATTAAGAAAGCACATTATCACGCTTTAATTCCATTACGAATAATTTTTTTCCTGGAATATTCTCAACGAAATGCTTTTGTACGCTTGTAAACAATGTAATGAGCTGTCATTGGAATAATTTTAACAACTGTCGGACAAGTGGCTTAAAAATGACAGCAGTGCGAAGTTGGTTGCAGTTTTTTCATCGCACCTGTATATATTGGAACTCTATCCAAATATGAACCGATTTTAATATCATTTGGCAAATATATTTTCTGATCAAATCCCGTTACTCATTAGAAATTTTATTGGAATTGAGCATATATATCATGTATGGCGACTTTATTTTTATACCCTCCACCTTGGAAAGGAGGGTATATTAACTTCGTCATTCCGTTTGTAACATCCTTAAATATTCGTCGTAGACCCCATAAAGTATATATATTCATAATCAGCATAAAATTATAAGTCGATTTAACGATGTCCGTATGTCTGTCTGTCTGTTGAAATCACGATACAGCCCACATTATTTGACGTAGAGCGCCAAAATTTAGCAGAGCTATTTGTATTGTGTCTAGGATGGTTGGTATTGAAAATGAGATATATCCACGTCCACGTTCTGGTATAGTCCCCATGTAACGGTACCTCCCGATATTCGGTATTTTGATTATTTATGCCACATTTTTTCACGGATTTGTCTGAAAATTGGTACTTGTAGATCATAATGGGTCCCTGTGCGTGTAGCAAAACATTGCATGTATGGGTCCACGTTTTGGTATAGTCCCCATATAAAGGTACCTCCCGATATTCGGTATTTAAATTTTTATACCCTCCACCAAAAAAGTATGGAGGGTATATTAATATATATTAATAATCATTTTAGACCCAACAAAGTATATATATTCTTGATCAGCGTAAAATTCTAAGACGACTTAGCCCTGTCCGTCCGACTGTCCGTCTGTTGTAATTACGCTACAGTCTAAACGAATTAAGATAGCTAAAATTTTGCACAGATTTATCTTTTGTCTGCAGGCAGGTCAAGTTCGAAGATGGGCTATATCGGTCCACGATATCATATAGCCCCCATATAACGGTACCCCCGATATTCGGTATTTTGATGATTTTAGCCACATTTTTCAATGGAATTGTCTGAAAATCCACACAAGTAGTTCCTTGTGGGTACTTTATACCTCGGCAGAGAATGATCTATATAGGTCCACGATATCGTATAGCTCCCATATAACGATACCCCGCGATATTCGGTATTTTGATGATTTTACCCACATGTTTCAATTCCACAAAAGGAGTACCTTGTGGACATTTTACTCCCTCAAAAAGAATTGTCTATATAGGTCCACGATATCGTATATCCCCCATATAACTGTACCCCCCGATATTCGGTATTTTGATGATGTTAGCCACATTTTTCAATGGAATTGTCTTAAAATCCACACAAGTAGTTCCTTGTGAGTACTTTACCCCCTGAGAGAGAATTGTCTATACAGGTCCACGATTTCGTATACCCCCCATATAACGGTATCCCCCGATATTCGGTATTTTGATGATTTTACCCACATTTTTCATCGGAATTGTCTGAAAATCCACACAAGGAGTTCCTTGTGGGTACTTTATACCTCGGCAGAGAATTATCTATATAGGTCCACCATATCGTATAGCGCCCATATAACGGTACCCCCCGATATTCAGTATTTTGATGATTTTAGCCACATTAACCAATCGTATTGTCTGAAAACCCACACACGGAGTTCTTTGTGAGCACTTTACCCCTGAAACGGAATTGTCTATATAGGTCCACAATATCGTATATCCCCCATATAACGGTACTCCCCTATACTCCCGTATTTTGATGATTTTAGCCACTTTTCCAATGGAATTATCTGAAAATCCACACAAGGAGTTCCTTGTGAGTACTTTACACGCAGACATAGATTTGCCTTTATAGGTCCACAATATCGTATATCCCCCCATATCGGCACCTTCCTATATTAGATATTTTAAAGATTTTAAAAGAATTTTTAATGGATTTTATTTTTTTTTGAAAATTTTCTAATTCGTTCCAAATGGTGGAGAGTATTCAAAGTTCGTCCCGGCCGAACTTACTGCTTTTTTACTTGTTTTGTCACATTTTTTCACGGATTTGTCTAAAAATTGGTATTTGTTGGTCATAATGGGTTCCAGCTCCGATGGCGAAACATTGCATGTATGGGTCCATGATTTGGTATAGCCACCATATAACGGTACCTCCCGATATTCGGTATTTTGATGGTTTTCGCCACATTTCTTCTAATGTTTCCTTTACCCTAAGGTGGAGGGTATTAAAAGTTTGGCCCGGCCGAACTTAATGTTTTTTTACTTGTTGTACCTAATTTCGTCACTTATTCCAAATTTCATTGGAATCAGACATACATATCGTATTTGGTGTATAAAATAAACCAAATTGGTCGAAAATATTTATTGTAGCTATATCCACATCTGAACCGATTTCAATATAATTCGGCAAATACAAGCAATCATGCGTACATTTTCCTCTTTTATATATATGTATTTAAATATATCAATTCGAATATTTTTTGCGGAGAGAGAACAGATTTACTAGGAACACCAAATGTAAAGTGTCCCTCATTTAGTCATTGAGGTCAACTACTTTTTGTACTGATCTAAATGACCTTTCAACGGTTATACCCTACTCTAAAGCCATAATGTTTGCTGACGATGTCAATCTTTGTTGCAATATGGACTCTCTTTATGTCCCTTAACTTGCAACATGATGGCATAAAGCTCTCAAGAAATGAAAAAAAAACTGTCTTTGTTTTTTAACACAACCTTTCAATAGTGATTACCTCATTGTCTCTTACAACTTGGACAATGCAGATTCGTTGATCGTTTTTTAGACAATTTGGCTTTTAATTTACATAAGTCATTACTGGGTTTTATAATACGATGGTCTAAAGAATTTGACGATTCTTATGTGACTAAGCGTTTACATATTTATTAGCCTGGTTCGGACCACTCTAGAATACGGTTGTGTATTGTGGATTCCTTTTTATACCCTCCACCATAGTATAGAGGGTATATTAAGTTTGTCATTCCGTTTGTAACACCTCGAAATACACATTTTAAACCCCACAAAGTATAAATATTCTTGATCAGCATTCGTAATAGATACTAGAGTATAAAACAGAAAATGGGCCATGTAGGTCCACGTCTTCGTATAGCCCCCATATAACGGTGCCACCCGATATCCGGCATTTTGATGATTTTAGCGACATTATTCACTGGAATTGTTTCAAACTTGGTATTTGCAGTTCGTAGTGGATACTACAGCCTAAGACAGAAAATTGTCGGTGCAGGTCCACGTTTTCGTATAGACCCATATAAAGGTAGCTCCCGATATTTGGTATTTTGATGATTTTAGCTACATTATAACCGATTTTTTTAAGTTTCGCATTTGAATATTGTAATGACTTATGACAAATGTTACCTATGCAGGTCCATATCGTCGTATAAACTCTAATATGACAGCTACATTCGGTATTGTTTAACATAATTTTTAACGGATTTTATAGTTTTTAAAAATTGCCAAATTACTTCCAAATGGTGAAGGGTACGCAAAGTTCGGCCCGGCCGAACGTACAGCTTTTTTGTTTGTTAAAAAACATTTTCTACTAAATTGGAATCCGTATAAACCCAGTTTCTTTTATTCCCAATATCACAGCATTAGGATGGATGTAACACTATTTTACATATTTAGTAATAAAGCAAGCAGTTGCCAGATATCCTACTTTATCTCTCCTTATATGTTGTTTTATTTCATGTGTGTTGTCTTCATTTGTGATGATGTCTAACAATAGCTGGTTTCTCCTAGCCTACTAACTCTCCATAGTTCGTGCTATAGGTGTATGCGCTTACTACTTAGTTGGCAGGGGCGGGCGAGTGCGGCGTTGGGATCGATCGAAAAAAATAAGAACTTGAGTTGTGGTTTCAACAAGACGGTTCCACATACCATACCGCACGCGTAATTGTGGATTTATAGAGAGGAAAGACTATGCCAAAATTGGACTAAGTCGAGGTTAATTATATGGACCATTTTTCTGAATTGCATGTTTTTTTTTGTCATTTGAAACTTTCCTATGGCTTTTAAAAAATCAACCCTTTATTTAATGTTGTTCCATTAACTCAATATACTGTTTTGTTGATTTATGTCAAACTCCCAGTGAAAACGATAATGCAAAAGAAAAATAAAACATTGTGGAACAAATAGAAATTGTTAGCTTTTTGAGTTATGCTACCCTTTCAATAAATGAGCGATATGTTTTTAATGGTAATTCTATAAGCTATCAGTCAACAGAAATATAAAGGGAAAGTTATTGACCCTGACTTCAATAACAGGTAGCGACCCAGGTTCTTATATAAATAATAATACTAAAGTGACCCTCAAATCTCAATGGGGCGTCGGGCCCCGAGCATATGAATGGTAACGAAAACAAATGTTATTTCAAGTTGTTAAGTTTAAAAATACATATATACCCAATATGTATTCGCAACTTTCAATATCAAGTCCCAAGGAATATTTCCATACATCAGAATTTTTCTGTTTTTACCCCAAAAACAAGTGTTATTGTCAAGCTCTTTGTTCTTCCACTTACCAAATCGTCAGCCAAAATGAAAATGATATGCGGTGGTTTTTGTGCGGTTACCTCTCCATTGGACTTTATCGCACCTTCACAAAACAAATTCGGAACATTTTTATCGCATTTATCGCGTAACTCAATATCGGAATAAACACCGCACACCGTGAGAATTATGAATGGAATGCCGCACTTAAGATTATTGAACAGCCGCATTTCTTTTGTTTCGAAAGCTAAAACATACAAATCGCAAATAATTAAAAATTTGCGAACAATAAACAGTTCGACAGACACAAAGCCAAACAAAACAATGTTCAATTGTTTATTTCCCCAAAAGCAATAGCAACTGCAACAATAACAACAAGGCACACCAATCCCACACTCGTCAATGCGCTGGGGTGCAGGCAGGTTAGCTTCCAAATTTATGCGATGCAATTCGCAACAACAATAATAGCAAGGCAAAGAACGTGCAGCCGATACATGCAATAAAATTCGAATGCGAATCGTTTCGCAAAACAAACGCCCAGTCGGAGTAGTAGCATAAAACGTAATGCCTCCTCTCACTGTGACGCCAAAACAATTAAACCTTGCCGCAGTAATCCACGATTCATTGTTTGACTTCTGAAAAGTGTTTTTTTCTTCTCTTTTTGACAACACTTCCGATAAAAGTTTAATTAGTGTTGGGCGGAAATCCGAAGATGTTCCTTTTCTTATTTCTTATTTTTAGCCGTCGGATCTGATTGTGATTGCTAAAATTAAATGATTGCCGTTGGAATTTAATTTCGTTTATTCAGCACATTTTCCCCGTTTGGAATTTTTGTAATTTTCGACCCGTACACAACACAATGCAAAACAACAACAAAACCAACGCTAACGTCCATCCACATTCAATAACTTCAACAATGCGACTGACGGACGATGAATGAATGGCCAGCATTTACTTAGAGCCGATCGTTCGTTTACGCGCGCATAAAGAAAAATCGAAGAGTCTAAACCCCCCCAAGACTGGGCATTTGCTTCGTCGGTTTGTTTGTTTGAAGAGCTCTTTAGCACCGACACACGTCTGACGACAACAAAACAACAGTTTAAGAAGAAGTTACGATCGAACAAAAGCGGTGACAATGCACCCTACAAACTACACATCGTGTATCACGGGTGGTTTGTCCACCCACTGATTTGGTTCTAATACAGGGTTGCCCATATTCGACGGACCTTTGGGCCCATTCCAATCGACGAGGCTTGTCCGCAGGCAACATTCTTTTCGTCAATTGAATTTTGTACGGGAACAATTGCAAATCAATGCGAATAATCCGTTGTAAAGTGGACCGAGCCATGCCCAACTGCTGAGAACGGCGTTTTTGGGATGTTCTTGGGGACCTCTCAACACTGGCTCGTACGGCAGCGATATTCTCGGCCGATCGCCTTGGTCGACTTGTATATGGCCTCTTCGGATTAGAAAGAGCCTTACCAGTCGAAAATTTTTCGTATAAACGCTTTATGGTGTTCTTAGAAGGCGCACTTCTCACATTTTTATACCCTCCACCATACTATGGAGGGTATATTAACTTTGTCATTCCGTTTGTAACTCCTCGAAATACTCATGTCAGACCCAACAATGTGTATATATTCTTGATCAGCGTAAAATTCTAAGTCGATTTAGCGATATCCGTCTGTCTGTCTGTCTGTCTGTCCGTCTGTCTGTCTGTCTGTCCGTCTGTCTGTCTGTTGTAATCACGCAATCTTTCGAATAAATTGAGATAGATGACTAAAATTTTGCACACATGTTTATTTTTCCAGTAGGCAGGTTAAGTTCGTAAATGGGCCATGTAGGTCCACGTTTTCATATAGCTCCCATATAACGGTACCTCCGGATATTCGGTATTTTGATGATTTTAACGACGTTATTCACCGGAATTGTTTCAAAATTGGTATTTGAAGTTCCAAATGGATACTACACCCTAAGATAGAAAATTGTCTGTGCAAGTCTATGTCTTCGTATAGCCCCCATATAACGGTACCTCCCGATAATCGGTATTTTGATGATTTTAGCGACATTTTTCACGGGAATTGTTTCAAATCTGGTATTTGAAGTTCCAAATGGATACTACACCCTAAGACAGAAAATTGTCTTTGCAGGTCCACGTCTTCGTATAGCCCCAATATAACGGTACCTCCCTATATTCGGTATTTTGATGATTTTAGCGACATTATTAACCGGAATTGTTTAAAATTTGGTATTTGAAGTTCGTTATGGGAACTACAGTCTGTGACAGAAAATTGTCGGTGCGGGTCCAGTTTCGAATTTGAATATGGTAATGGCTTATGACAAACAATGCATATGTATGTCCACGTCATATAGACCCCAATATAACGGCTATATTCGGTATTTTTAAAATTTTAACAGAATTTGTTAAGGATTTTATTTTTTGAAAATTTCCAAATTCGTTGTAAATGGTGGAGGGTATTAAAAGTTCGGCCCGGCCGAACTTACTGCTTTTTAACTTGTTTTTTCACAATTGACTTCTTCTGTTGAATGTAAATTTCAACTATTTCAGAGCGCTCGCGTGGCGTATATTGGTTCACGGTAAAAATCTGCTTGGACTGACGCTTCAAACGCGGTATGTCATTAAGCGATGTGACATCTCTGTCAAAAGTTATGGCGTTGCCAGATGGGTCCGTCGAATATGGGCAACCCTGTACAATTGGGCGAAACAAGTGCAAAATTTAAATTTTGTATAAACTAGCTGACCCATATAAACGTGGCTGTCCCATATTTTTAGTGTTTAATAGATATTTTTTTATAAACTACAAATTTTCCTCATATAAGTTGTAATCTTTTAACTTTTCTCTTTGAAATGCATTACTTTTTGGTTTTCAATTCATTTTTAGGCTTTCCTGTAGTCTTTTGAAGCATTTTTCTGAGGGACTCACTATGGATGATAAATGAATGAAAATTTGTTGTAAACACCCACAGCCAAAATTTAAATAACTATTCGTATAAAGAACCTAATAACTTTGAAGAGTTAGCATTTAGAAGATCATGTTGCGAGGTAACTTGTATTGTCCACCTTATGATTGGTGGTATAAGGAGTATGCCCACTTTTGTATGACCGCCATTTGAGACCCAAAGGGTATATTCGACATTGATTTAACTATATTCTTCTGTCTGCCAGCTCTACTTTTATTATGTCATATTTGGCACAGCCAACACACCCCCACCCATATGACAGCGCTGGCAGCTTAAAGTATTTTGAAAGTTTGAAAGGAAATTTCAAATCGAATCAGTATGCAAGCGCTTCACGATCTCTAGTGATATAAATTCACTATTTGATATGGCCCAAATAGCAGAACGTCTTAATATTCGACACTTCACTTACCCTTATCCCAATATCCGACTAAGTGGAACGTAATTCAGAAATTTGGCTTTTTGTCAGAAGGAAATTCGCCACATGAAAATGAAAGACCTCATATTGATATAAGCTCCATACAGCTGTGTGGTCAATTAAGGGTCGAAGTCACAACTACAATCTTATTGATTTTCTTCGCTTTTTTAATGCCAAACAAACAAAACATAAAATATTACAAAATTTACAATTCAAAAAAGAAAGTCAAATTGAAAAAATCTACAGGGTGAGAGAAAAAACTGCAACCAACATCAGACTGCAGCTGTTAAAATTATTCCAGTGACAGCTCATTATATTGTTTACAAGCGTACAAAAGCATTTTGGTTAGAATTTTCCAGAAAAAAAGTTATTCGTGATGGATAGTGTGATTTCTATATATTTGGCTGGAAAACAACAAGTGGCTATCGTTATACACTCCAGCATTTAAATGTGAATAAATCTTTTGTGTCTCGTACCATCGCCCGTTACTGTCAGACTGGTAGCTTAGAAACTGCAACATCAGCAGAAATGGTTCTAAAAAAAGAAGCGCGTCGCAGTGGTCGTAAAATGACTCGTGAGCTGAACATAACGCAATATTCCATTCGGCAAATATTGAAAAATGAGCTCTGGGTAAAGCCGTTGAAATTCCAAAAAGTGCAAGAATTTACACCGCAGCAGAAAAAATAGACTCAAAAGAGCTTAAGAGTTGCTTCGCTTAGCCGAAAAAAAGATAGCAAATTGTCGATCACCTCAAGCAAGCGCTTCACCCGGAATGGACCAAAATACCGCAGAGCAACATTCGGGCAGCGTGTGACTGTTTCTTTGGCCGTTTGAAGGCCATAATTCGTGCCAAAGGTGACGAATTCGAACAAATCTAAACTTATTTTAAAATTTAATGCTACTTCCGACATTTTTTGTTTTCATTCAATAATTTTGTTTTAAAAAAATGTAAAAGTTATGGCTTTTGACTTTGTTTCAGTTTTTCAATCTCACACTGTATAGTGAGAAAAGTGGCAAAGGACACAAAATGTTATGAAAATACTTAAGAATTATAACAATTTGCCTCGTTTTTTATCAACAATCAAAATATTGATTGAGCCTCAAGCATGGTACAGAACAGTGATGTTAGGCGGGGCTTTCCGGAATTCGTATAAATAGTACAAAAATATTTGAAGAGGTGGAAATTTTGAAATTCCCATTTTCAGGGTACAAAGTGCACTGACTGTAACGGTTATTTCACATTGTATAAGAGTTATAATTTTTTTTAAAATGACCCTTGGGTGGAGTTGTCAGAAGGTTTAGCCCTTATATTCCGTCTTCCCACTAGATCTTGTTTATCTAGAAACATTGAGATGTGTTAAATTTTAAGAGAATTGGATGCTCAATTCGCATTTTATGATTGTTTTGGTTATTCAAAATTTCGACACTTTGTGGGAGAAGTATCGGAAGGAGTAGGTCAATACATATCATCTTCTCACCGTTTTACGTGTTTTATGGTTATTCAAAATGCTGACCCGTTTTGAAGGAGGTGCCAGTAGGAGTGTGTCGATATATTGGACCTTCACACCAGATCTTATGTTATTAGAAATTTTGGTATGTGTAAAAATTGAAGACAAAACGAACTCTTATTTCGCATTTTATGAGAGTTACAACTAATCCTCCTTAATGTTGACTCTTTGTGGGGGAGATACTTGATGGAGTGAGCCGATATTGTCCATTTTCACACCTGACCTAGCAATGACTAAAATATTTGGATTTAAATTCTTTTCTTTACAAAATTTTAACTTTTTGTGTAGGAGATACCAGAAGTAGTGGACCAATGTTATCCATCTCCAAGCTCGATCTAAGTTTGTTAATAATATTACGATGTACAAAGCTTGGATCAAATCGGATACTCCCTTCAAAAGTTATCGTGAGCACTAGCCGGCCAGGCAGACAGACGAACACCCCTGGATCGACTCGAAGTATCCTGAAACGGATTTGGTTCAAAGAGACCTAGGGTCTAAAACAATTATTTCGATGATGCACGTCTTGGCCGTATAAAATGATATATACCCTCTGTAGCCGTATGGTTGAGGGTATAATTATACAAATAACTTTTTACCAAAACTGTGTGAAAATTATAGTTTCTAGCCCATCTTAAACTGAGAGTCTTAAATATCACCTTGTCGTAAATTACATTTCAAGTCACCGTAACCCATCACTTCGAGTTTTGATGTAATATTTTCATTGAAACTAAACCTCCAGTAGTAAAATTCCTATTTGAATCAATGAACATTGTCTACTAAATTAAAGCAGCAAATTATGAATTGTAAATGAAAAATGTCCCATTAAACACACAAAATTCCAATAGAAACATAATTTACGTGCCGTTAGGGGTACTTACAAGCAAACATATGTATGCACATATTTATACATTATTACACATCCATCCATCCAAAAGTAATTGCAGTCGCTACAGGTACACTGGTGGTCAATATTAAACGTATGCACTGGAAAAATTTTTTAAGATACATTTATCTTTGGACCTAACACGTGTCTCTACAT